TGTTTGTTTTAGCGCGAATATTGAGATTAAGTGTATCGCAGAGTTATATTCGGAAAGAATAAACCAGTTTTATTAAGAAAGGACTTTTTTCGCTTAAGTTTCGTCGGAACGAAGTTATAGAAAGTTAATTAACAAACGGAGACGTAACAGTATCATAACATAGCTAACTTGTTCCCTTGTGTACAGTTTGATTGTTTTTCATTTCTAATGCCAATATTGGGTTATATCCTCGCTCTTTTTCATTTACAGCTGTTATTAATAAAATTAATTTTCTAATTCGTTCGTGTTCTAAGTAACTATAAGCATTTTTAAACTTGTAGCCTTAACCCTTGTAATGCGTTTCATTCATACTGTATTTTGTTATTGAGCTTTATCAAAAAATAGAAAGTCTGAACACAGTTTAATGCTGTCTCTTTACTGGGTCACAGAAAGTAGAAAAGTTATCAGGCATATTATCTCCCATGAATGTTTGAAATTATCCAAAAACATCAACATTTTTTACACAGGTGTTTATTATTTGAGAGTGTCGGTTTTGTTGTTGTTTTCATTAAAAGTTCGATAAGTTACCATCGGAGATCGTGAATATATAAAATGTTAAAATCAAAACAACACATTTCTTAATATCAAACTGTCCAAGCCTAGAACAGTGGTTATATAGATTGTTCTACACACACATGGAAATAAAAAAGAGACACTCGCGCATGCTCACAGAAAGTTGGTGGATTTGTTTAAATCTAGTTCATAATAGTGGCAACAGTTAAGAAAAATAATAAAATATTTTCTCATCTTTTACTACAAGTTTCGTAAATCATGGACTCATATACTGCCCGACTGAGGCCTAGCAACGGGATAAACTTACGAGGTTCTAGTAACATGACCAAACAGTATAACAATCACCAAGTAGAAAACTACACAAGGTATTATTTATACACAGATAAATTATCGCTTCTAAAATTAAACACTATTATATCTAAATGAAATAGTCGTGTATATCTAACATACAAGTTAATCTGTTAATCATACTGTGACAACTGTTTCCTTTCTACAGTTAACAAAATAAATGTGAAGCCCAGTCTATCATTCAATTGACCACTTGTTACTGTGTTATACCGGTTATGGGGGGCGCTTTCTCACCACTACATTTATTCAACGTTTAATCTGGTCTACAAAATCCAATACGAAATGAACTGTTCAAACGTATATTTAATACATACAGCAGATGAAACAAAAGGTGTATTTTGTTGAATGTAAACAGATAAACCGAGTTTATTTTTCACTGTAACTGGGTGTTATTAGTCACTATTTCATGCTGTCAAATGTAATATAGCGATGTAACTTATAAGTACGCATTGTGCCACTTCCGTTTTTGTTGTTCACCAGCTTATCATGACGACATTTTAAAGATTGTACTGTAATTTCACTTTATCTTACTTATTTCTTTTAGCGACAACGAAAAACACTTTGCTGTTTAATACAACTTGAATACTGATTTCCCCCTCCTTTTTTTTTTTTGGAAACAAGTTTGGCCAATAATTGTGATCGCGTGAGGTCGCTGTTCGATGCAATGTACATAGTATATACGTTGTGATGCTGCAGGCGTTTACGATTAAATATTAATTGTAATTTCTGGAATACAACAGGTGAAGGCTGATTTCACAGTGTACTTTTATTTGTTAAGAGATGGCGGTATACTGTTGATTCGAAATTAATCTGTGGCATTTCTCTTTCTTTTCGTATTTAACTGGAAGCACTAGGCTTAACTATTACTGTAATTTCTCTATAGAAATGAATATTATAAAACTTCAGGAATTTTTTTTTATTATTTAGAATTGCGAGCGAGACTACACAAGAGTTGTCTATGCATAGTCTTCATTACTTTAGAACTGATCTTATAATAATAAAAGGACGTGTCTGTTAGTCTGTGTGGGTATGACCGTAAGCATCTTTTTTATGAGGCAAGCTAGCGAAAAATCACATAGAAAAGATCTGTGACCACCATAGCTCCGAGAAGAAAGAATCTAGAAACCTAAAATTTTGCACCCATACTAAGTGGAACCTGAGGGTGTGCAACTGGATATCATTACTTATTCACGTGCGCGCGCGCATGCATCTTTTTAATGAGGCAAGCTAGCAAAAAACCACATAGAAAAGTATTGGTTCCATATATTACAAATACAAATCACAGACAGACACGTGTGTGCGTGCCTGTGTGACCACCATATCTCCAACAGCAAACAACCTAGAAACCTGAAAGTTTGTACCCATACTAAGTGGACCCTGAGGGTGTACACCTAGGTATTATTACTTATCTACGTGCGTGTACTCGTGTGCACCTTTTTAATGAGGCAAGCTAGCAAAAAAAAAAACATAGAAAAGAAGTGGTTCTTTATATTAAAAATCACAGACAGACAGACATGCACTATGTGTGTGTGACCGCCATAGCTCCAAGAGGGAAGAACCTAGAAACCTGACATTTTGCACCCATACTAAGTGGACCCTGAGGGTGTATACCTGGTTTGTTTGTTTGTTTTTAATTTCGCGCAAAGCTACACCAGGGCTATCTGCGCTAGCCATCCCTAATTTAGCAGTGTAAGACTAGAGGGAAAGCAACTAGTCATTACCACCCACCGCCAACTTTTTTACCAACAAATAGTGGGATTGACCATCAAATTATAACGCCCCCACGGCTGAAAGGGCGAGCATGTTTGGTAGGATGGCGATTCGAACCCTCGCAGACTGCGAGTCGAGCGACCTTACCACCTGGCCATGCCTTGCCCCAGATTACTAAATGCCTTGGTACCATTCCAACACCCCTCCACACACGCATGTCTTCTATCGGCCAAAGTTTTGGCATAATATTTCTCTCTTTCAAAGTTTACTTTTCTAAATCTAATCCTACTATATTTGCTTATGCCCTACCCCCACCCCCACCACTATCAGTTATCTCATTTTCAACCCCTTTTATCATTACTAACCTTCCTATCACCCTTTTATCTCTTTGGGATTCTCGTGCAGCAATAAAAATGTAAAACAAGTTTTGGTTAACAATTTTATTGAAACAACCAAAGGGTGCAAGAAAAAAGAATCATTTAATGGTAAATTCACATGAAGTGAAAAAAACCACAGTAAACGGAACAAACTGTCAGAAGTCTGAAGACAACGTGAGACTGAAGAGGACGCACGAATGTGCCGAAACTAGTTTCTTTGTTATCAGACTTCTGACAGTTTGTTTCGTTTACTGTTTTTTTCCACTAATTCCTGTACACGATATTGTGTTCTTTTATTATTAAATTCACATGAAATCTTAACGAACTTTCATCCCAGTAAGAGAGTCAATGACATCGTTAAAATCAACTTGTTTTACAGCTCACAAATCAATCGTTTGCAAAGCCTCGCGTTGAACAACAACAACAACAAAAAAAAAGGGTTTAGATCGATCAGTTTTTCGGGCCCTGTGATGGATGATTCAATATTTCCTTCAATTATTGTCAGACACGATGAAATGTGCAATTTCTTTCTATCAGGTCTAAGATATTACTAAGATGTATATCTCTCTCAGATTTTGTTATTATCCGCGAAAGGGATCGAACCCAAGACTTCTCGCTCGCCAGGAGAGTGCTCTACCAATTAAATATAAAGGTTATTCTACTAATGCAATCTAGTAAGGCACTTAATCTGTAAAGAATTGTTTGTAATTAAGCACAAAGCTACACAATTGGCTATCTGTGCTATGCCTACCACGGGTATCGAAACCCGGATTCTAGCGTTGTAAGTCCGCAGACATACCGCTGTAAATAAACAAAAAATACGTTTCTAACAAGTTTTTATTAAGCCCAAAGTTTTACAGTGGGCTCTTTGAGCTGTTCCCACGGCATGGATTGGACCCCGAATTTTAGCGCTTACCACTATAACGTCAAGGTTAATGTTGAGCCAGCGGAGGAAGAGGAGGCTTCTAATAAGTAAAAATATTGTATTTGTTGAAAATTTTCAAGTGCGTTTCATCATTACATGCGATTCCTAAAATATCCTATATAAAAGTGTGGTATCCTTTTAGCACGATTTTTCAATTTCATGAAACTGTTGCGTATTACGACCAGCTCTTTAACAAGCATAATCCCTGTAAGCACTTTGCTGTTTTCACAGGTTTATAATTTACTTTAAAATGTGGAAAAATATGGCGCCGATCTTAACAAAATATTACTCGCAAAAATCTTTCACTTTTATATACGCTACCAAATAAATAGGTACGTATAAAAAAATGAGAGTCTGGGGGGGGGGGTATTTTATCGTTATTTGAAACAAAATTATGAAATGTTACACAAGTTAATTCTTAGCAATTTCAATATTTATACTCTTATGCTTTCCAGAAAACACGCCCCCTCCAGTGCCACAACGGAAATTGTTTGTTTTTGTTTTTTGAATTTCGCGCAAAGCTACACGAGAGCTATCTGCGCTAGCCGTCCCTAATTTAGCAGTGTAAGACTAGAGGGAAAGCAGCTAGTTATCACCACCCACCGCCAACTCTTGGGCTACTCTTTTACCAACGAATAATGGGATTGACCGTTACATTATAACGCCCTCACGGCTGAAAGGGCGAGCATGTTTGGTGTGACGGGGATTCGAACCCTCGACCCTCAGAATTAAATTAATTAACCTAAACTTGCATTCTCTACATTTTTATTAGATAAAAAGTGTTAATTTTAAGAATTAAATTAATTAATGTAAAACGTACATTCTGTATATTTTTATTAGATAAAAAAGTTTTAATTTTAAGAATTAAATTAATTAACCTAAACTTACATTCTGTACATTTTCATTAAATAAAAATGTTAATTTTAAGAATTAAATTAATTAACCTAAATTTGCATTCTGTATACTTTTATTAGATAAAAAAAAGTGTTAATTTCAAGAATTAAAGTAATTAATCTAGACCTACATTCTGTATATTTTTTATTAGACTTTATATCCTAAGTAGTCAAGCATAACTATTATACCCTGTATTTCAGAAATGGCAATTAATTTTAAACCATTCAGTGAATAATACTGAATTATTAAACTAAAATGTTTCACTAGTAATAGTTTTTGATATCTGAAACCAGAATGGCATGTTAGCCTAAATGGCCAGATCAGAGCATAAAGAATGGAGTACATTCAGTGGGATATTGTGGTGTGAACTTTAAGCTCATTGGTGGGTCAGCAGTAAGTTTCAGTCCTTATAACGTTAAAATCCAAGGCTTAATTCTCTACATTGGACAGAACACACAGCCCATTATATAGCTTTGCACTCAAATAAATAAATAAAACAGCAAAACTTGGATTCTTCAATCCAAAGTTCAACGTACTAACCACTCAGCCATGTTTGGCACTCCATCAATAAAGAAAAATGCTGACAGTTTTGAGCAATGGTAGATTTTTCACGTACCTAAACTAGCTCTATCACAGAAGAATTTGACATGTCTGAACATGATTACTATAAACCCTCTATCAGTTGAATGATTTTAAAAACTCTCCTCATGAATAATTTTTGCATAATCTCTTCATTGGCCATCATAATTTTGTTTCCTACTTAACCATAAATTATACATTTCACGTTTCTGTTCAAAGGAAACTTAGTTTTGAGCATTGCAATTTCCATGAAATTTAAGGGCACAATAACAGTACAGTGTCATGGCAACCAATAAATGTTAATTCTTTCCTCCATCTTTTAGCTTTTGCCCGAAGAAGTTGTTCTCTCCCCTTCTTTTTAATCCTAATATCTTGAATGATTAGTTTTAAAATTATGCCAACTGAAATAACCAGCCATATTTCCTTTACTATCAGACATACTGGGATCTTACTATAATTAACCCAACTGGTGTGTGTCTTTGTTTCACAAGTATCAAATCTCGGTATTTAGCATTATAAGCCATCGTACTTATCGCTAAGCCAATGGGGGGCTCAACTGGTGTGTTGGAATAAATGCTTTTATTATCACAACAAGCATTTATACAAGTTATTTGTAAGACCCTTGAGAATACTCAGCACAAGCTTGGCTATTTGAACAGTTAAACAGATACCACATACACATCAAATACCCCCTTGAGTGATAATATTAATTCAGTTTTAAAAAACACCATGCAACCATTCAAACTTATGAAAATATATTTCTTTTTTAAACATATTGTGTAAACTCATTCTTAGTGTTTCACTAATGTTATTACATTTTCTAGAATTTTTTTTTTGGTACTTTGCATTGAAGAAAGCAGCATACAGTCATCCATCCTTAGAAAACATGCCATGATGGAGGATGGTGGCAAATAACCATCATTAGGACTTGAGTTTAGTGGAAATCAATAAAAAAAAATTCTAATAAACACATTTAAAATTAATTCATCAAAATGCTTTGCCTAATTTTTATATGGCCACAAAAAGTTGAGATTCACATTTCATGCAAATTGTATATTGATTATTACTTGCATAAACAAACAGTCTATAAGGTTTATCTGGAGTTTCAGAAATTGGCTTTTTTTTTTATATCCCAAGTTAGTCTATTTTCAGATTTGGAAAACACTGGCCCTAGTAATGACAAGATATAAATAAATAGAAATGAAATATTAGTTTTAAATGTAGTACTTTTTTTTATTTAATTTAGACAATCCAGTTCTTTCTAGTGGAACTTAAAAAAATAAATAAACAGTAAGGATATATTTTGATCAAAGACCGGATTTTGATTTACACCTATTTGGTTATTTATTTAAGCATGGTCAACTCTGTTAAAGATGAAAACTCAGAATGTTTAAAAACAATAATAATAGAAATTGTGTAGTTGAAAATATTTGACAATTGTATTAATGACCTGGACCAAATCGCATCAAGTCATTTAAAAAAAACGTTTTTTAATTATTTGTACACAGTTTTTAACCCCAGAAAATTAAACAATTAAAAACTACGTTACAAATATCATAACTCTGAATGAAATCTAGTAAATCCAGTGTTAAAAACAGAAAATTCAACGTCTATCTTGTTAAAATTAAGCCATTACAATTCCCCACCTGTGACGTGAACTAAAAGCTTGAGAGTAAATATTTGTATCTTAGAAACGAACAGAATTTCTAAGTAATTTATAAATTTATACAAAACATGAAATATAATCCTTTGTACAGAATTAAAACCTAATTGAAAATCAATTGCTCCACATAAAGTTAACTCCTAAAGCGATATTTCAAATCAAAAGCACCATGAAAAGATATTACTAGAAAAACATGGTCCATTATTAAATCTGTATATGTAAAGTTACATAATTTTATCAGAAATCTTAAAATTCAAATCTAAAACCACAATTTATTTACAAATTAATTTTTCTAAAATAGCACAGATGTTCACTAGATAAAAATTATGTATATTTTATCGCTGTTATCAAAAGCTATTTTTAGCCTTCTGCATAATGATTTTATGGAATTCCTCATTTTTTGAAGATCCTGGTCCAAATATATTAACCCCGTATGTAATTCTCTTATAAAAATACAAATCTTTACTCTGAAGAAAAAATAAATATTATAGCATTAAAAAAAAAACACTTCGTCAGTGAACTATAAAGACGTGAAGGTTTTTGCAGAAGTAAAAGGTTGAAATGATTAAATTTGTTTCATCTTGTTGATTTTAATTGTCTAATCCATATCTTCGTAGTGATGTCTCTTAGTTACGGGTTCTTCATTCAGATCTGTACTGGTAGAATTTTGCTGAAAGTTTTCCGGACATACAATCTCAGCTGGGATGTTCCATCTAAAGATCACAAACAAGTTTTCTCACATCAACTCCTTAATAGATATCAACGAAACTATATCTTAAAATTTCAAACTTTATTAGAAACTGTAGGTGATCGTGCTTTTGTTTAACATATATCTTGATCAGTTTGTTCTTAATTAGATTATCTTTTATTACAGAGAGTAGAAACTCGAGCGATTTCAATTTATCTAAAGAAATTTTAAGATAGGCACTGAATTTTAACGTAAAAGTTACGGTGAAAACCACATTTTTTGTCTCCTTCTAAAATGACATATGTGACTGTAGTGTATGTATTCACTGTTATTTCTCAGAATGTTAACCACAGAAAAAATTTATTTCCTCTTAATAAAATGAAGTATTAAAATTGTAAAATAAGAAGCTTGCATAATAAACCAATCTCCTTGAACACACTAATTTATATATTTGTGAATAGTAATAAAACTGCCATAAATTTAATGATAAATTTCTAAACTTCTGAATTTGTTTTTCATATAAAGAATTGAATCTGTCTTGGTTTACTTTAAGCTAGGTATTCTTCTTTTACACGGAACAGATCTGAGTAATTTATTTTACGCACTAACATTATTTTCACACTAATACTTTACGTATTCTCATCACTTCCAAAATTTGCCCAGTTAGGTTCATCAATTTAAGATATGTTTGTGATATGCCAAAGATATTCCTCTAATACGAGTAAATTGTCTTTAGTTGTATCTACTTATTACCTCTCATCTGCACCTGCCGTATTCAATACAATTACCTTTCCGTGGAAAGTAGCCCGGCCCTCTTACAACATCGTTTCTCTCCTTTACTTATGGCTGTGAGCACTTTATCAAGAGCACTCCCAAAGTGACGAGAATTTTCCACGGTAAAACAGAGCGGTGGTGAGAGAACAAGCACATTCATGTTTTCACCCTGAAGTGCTACAACGATACGTTCAGCTGTCATTCTACAGAAACAGAATAAAACACAACTGAACATGCTTCTGTTTTATTCTACTGTACAATAAACAGTTTTGTGACGAATAATGCAGACTTTTTATGTGGAGACAACACAGGTTCGAAAGGTAATGATCTGCCCACCTTCAAGTTGAATATCCTGAAACTGATTAAGCAGCTGTTTCTGTTCTTTAAAACAAACTTAGAAAATAGTTTAACCCGACGTTAATATTGTATTTTGGGATCGTAACCCTGAAAGTATAATTTTATAAATACAATATATTGCGGTATGAAATTTTTAACCTTACCTTTTAATTGTGGTGTATTGTTTTATTATTTTTAATCCACCTTGTGAATATTCACTGTTAAGGTTTACTAAATTGTGACAACTGATGTTAAAGCTGTGGACTGAGGTGAACTTCTGGAACAATTTTATACCAGTACCCAGTTTTCCTGAAAGGTGAGAATGTCATTACATACCCTCCCCCCTTCATTTATAAAGTTGTTTCATAGATCATCAGCATAGTAAGAATCATAAAAAACAAACTGCTATAGAAAACTATAGTTACTGCTTATAAATTAGTACAAAAAAATGTTGTCATTGTTCAGTACTGCTTCTAAGTGTGTTTGCCAATACTGCTTCTAAGAGTGTTTGCCAGTACTGCTTCTAAGAGTGTTTGCCAGTACTGCTTCTAAGAGTGTTTGCCAGTACTGCTTCTAAGTGTGTTTGTCAGTACGGCTTCTAAGAGTGTTTGCCAGTACTGCTTCTAAGTGTGTTTGCCAGCACTGCTTCTAAGTGTGTTTGCCAGTACTGCTTCTAAGTGTGTTTGGCAGTACTGCTTCTAAGAGTGTTTGCCAGTACTGCTTCTAAGAGTGTTTGCCAGTACTGCTTCTAAGAGTGTTTGCCAGTACTGCTTCTAAGAGTGTTTGCCAGTACTGCTTCTAAGAGTGTTTGCCAGTACTGCTTCTAAGAGTGTTTGCCAGTACTGCTTCTAAGAGTGTTTGCCAGTACTGCTTCTAAGAGTGTTTGCCAGTACTGCTTCTAAGAGTGTTTGCCAGTACTGCTTCGGAATGTTATTAACTGGTTTTATCAGTATATGTTATATATTCATGGTAGATTAGGGATGTTAATGACTGGTTATATCAATGTTATATTTTCACAGGGGATTGGGAATGTTAATTGGAGTTGAATTTGTCAGTGATCAAGCATTTAGGAAACCCGACTCAAGTTTAGCTGCAGACGTGTGTGAACGGTAAGTTTTAGGTAATTCAGTTAATATTGAGAGTTAAGTATTTTTCTGTATTTAATATCTGTGATTTTTTATCACCTTTATTTTTAATATCATATGCATATAACTAAAGTATTATTAGAACATTTTGGGCAAAAACATAGAGTAATAAGAAGTAAGAACAGTATTATTCCACAGCCAGGAATTTGTTTTAGCTGGTTAATCCACCGTGAATATATAACATATACCGATTTAACTAGTCAATAACATTGCTAATCAACTGTGAATATATAACATATATATATACTGATAACTGGTCACTAACACTCCTAATCCACCGTGAATATATAACATATACTGATATAACCAGTTACTAACATTCCTAATCCACCATGAATATATAACATATAATAACATTCCTAATCCACTGTGAATATACAACATATATGGATATAACCAGTCACTAACATTCCTAATCCACTGTGAATATATAACATATACTGATATAACCAGTTACTAATATTCCTAATCCACCGTGAATATATAACATATACCGATGGCCAGTTAATAACATTCCTAATCCACCGTGAATATATAACATATACCGATGGCCAGTTAATAACAATCCTAATCCACCGTGAATATACAACATATATGGATATAACCAGTCACTAACATTCCTAATCCACCGTGAATATATAACATATACTGATATAACCAGTTACTAACATCCCTAATCTACCATGAATATATAACATATACTGATGGCTAGTTAATAACATTCCTAATCCACCGTGAATATATAACATATACCGATGGCCAGTTAATAACATTCCTAATCCACCGTGAATATACAACATATATGGATATAACCAGTCACTAACATCCCTAATCTACCATGAATATATAACATATACTGATGGCTAGTTAATAACATTCCTAATCCACCGTGAATATATAACATATACCGATGGCCAGTTAATAACATTCCTAATCCACCGTGAATATACAACATATATGGATATAACCAGTCACTAACATTCCTAATCCACCGTGAATATATAACATATACTGATATAACCAGTTACTAACATCCCTAATCTACCATGAATATATAACATATATGGATATAACCAGTCACTAATATTAGGAAATACAGATTTCACATCATTAATTACAGCAGGTTTAAATTAGCATATGGGCTAAACACTTCAAAGAAGTTTTATACTGGATGAAGTGACAACCAGCAGCTATTCCAGGAATTGTGATTTAAATGTCAAATGCTCTACATTACATTCAGAAAGAAGCTCGAAACCAAATGAAGCAGACTAAAGTATCAGACTTTTTTAAGTAAATAAGTGAACATGAGTGTGCTTTGTTTCTGAAATATTGTAAAGTTTGTATTCATATTTTATCTTATATTATTGCATCTTATTTTACCTTATCAATGTTCTTTTCATATATATTTTCCCTATGTAAATAAAGTTATTTAATTGATTGCTTTAGTAGTCTGTTGAATCTGTAGTTATTCAGCACGAGTGCCTTCTTGACAAGTTGTTATAACACTGCCCCACCTATAGCAGTCTCGAGTGCACATGGCTCCCAATGGTATTGTTATAATGAAGCAGTACTGTATATCAATCACAGCTGCAAAACATGAAACAAGATACAATCTTACAATTATAATGATAGTGTATTACTGCTATGAAATAGTGAAATACATAAACAAAACTAAATAATCCTCCTTGATAGATTTTTGTTTTCTCTACAAATCTGTGTTATGACTTTTTTACTTCTTTAAGAGTGTGTTATTTTCTCTAAGAGTTTGTGTTATGATTATTTTCTTCTTCACAAGTTTGTGTTATGATTATTTTCTTGTCTAAGAGTTTTTGTGTTGTGATTTGTTTCAGCTCTAAGAGTTTTTGTGATTTTTTTTCCATCATTACTATTTTCTGAAGGTGATTTTATCATCCACTTGCAGCTAATGGTGCTTTATATATTTCTATTTTAAATATGTGTGTATATATTCTTATCTTTAAAATACAGTAAAAACTTCCTTTCGTAAGTTAATCACAGGTTACTTGAACTGGTTAGTTATAATAATCAATTCTTTGATTTTACATCTGTATTTTTACAGAGAACAGTCACATCCTGCTGCTTTTGATTTGTTTCTCTGAAATGTTCATATAAAATAGCGATACTTTGTTCCTTATTTCTTTTCTATTCATCCAAACCAAGGTTTCAAATCTCACATTTAAACTCCATTCTGTTAACTACCCAAATGTGACATAGAAAAAAAAAGTTTTCCCCAGTAAAATGAAGAAATACTTTTAAACTGAATGATGTCTCTATAGCTGTATATATTTGTGGGGTATAAGATACATCTTAAACAATGGTCAAAAATATCTTAACCACAAATAATTTCTCAGACAATGCATTTAACTACAGCTCCTATAAAATTTTGTACAAAATTATTTTTGCCAAAACTAGGTAACAAGTATTAATTTTTGTAATCAAACATTTACAGAGACAAGAATGTGAAAGTTTTAAATAGAATAAGACACCACAAGTGTATCACCCTGTAAAGCTTTGAATTTACTACTACTGCTGGGGAAGATTAATATTAACAATACAACTTAATTATTATATAGAACATCTGACCTTTTCGTATCTAAATATTTACATTTAGGCTCTGTTTGTTTTGTGTGTCATAACTAACTTACCATGAAAAATTGTTTACACCTGTACAAACACTGGAAATAACTTCATTTGGTGTATTTACACAATTGGCTAGAGTAAAGATAATATTTAGATTCAACACACATTGTTTACACAAAGTTTTGTGCATTTTTCTTATATGTAGGTAATATAATTTATTTATCCAAAAATGTTAATACATAACTGGAAACAACCATACATCATGTTGTTTTTAATGTAGTCATTACTTTGAAAATGTAAAGAAATAATATCAACTGGCAGGTGAAACCTTAGAGAGTTTACAAACATCAATATCTAGTTGTAGGTTCATCAGATTACTACATGTAGTTTGATATTATAAAACCAAACAAATTATTTTGGATATCACACTTGTATATCCTTTTTTTGGCTACTCTTTTACTATATTTCATACCTGATGTCTCCTATACAGGTATGTCTTGTCTTTAACTTTTTCAGCTCCTCCATTAAACACTGGCCAACACATTTAGCAGCTAGCATCAGCTTTTCATTGTACATTACATCTAACACAGCACTTCCAATAGCACAAGACACAGGGTTGCCACCAAACTGTAAAATGTATGGAAAATTTCACAAGTTTTAAAACCCATACAACAGGCTGAAGTACAATAACAGATATGAAATTCAGGCTGTATTAACTGTTAACTGGTTGCCAACAAACTGTTTATAGAAAATTACACAAGTTTTAAAACCCACACAACAGGCTGAAGTACAATAACAGATATGAAATTCAGGCTGTATTGACTGTTAACTGGTTGCCAACGAACTGTTTATAGAAAATTACACAAGTTTTAAAACCCACACAACAGGCTGAAGTACAATGACAGATATGAAATTCAGGCTGTATTAACTGTTAACTGGTTGCCAATGAACTGTTTATAGAAAATTACACAAGTTTTAAAACCCACACAACAGGCTGAAGTACAATAACAGATATGAAATTCAGGCTGTATTAACTGTTAACTGGTTGCCAACAAACTGTTTATAGAAAATTACACAAGTTTTAAAACCCACACAACAGGCTGAAGTACAATGACAGATATGAAATTCAGGCTGTATTAACTATTAACCTTTTATTTACGTGCAACTTCTCATCTGTAAAACATTGATCAAACTGGATTCTGAAACAAGTGCTGTTTAACTATAGTTAATTTTAATCAAATACATTTAAATGTACTGTACTATCCTAATGGTCAGAAACATCATAGCCTTTATAGCATCTTAGATATTTTTTTCAGTTATTTTTTTACTGAAGTACAGTACTTTAAGTCAACTGATAAATTAGTGCCTTTAACTCAAGATTACAACTGCATATTAACATTTTATTAGTTTCATTGTTGTCATGCTTAATAGCTTATACAACCACCTAATTCTCGTCATTAATTAGTAACTATTTTATTATTATCAATTAGTAATTTATTTATTTAAACCCTCTAGTGGCTCAGTAGTAAGTCTGAGGACTTATAATGCTAAAAATTAAGTTTCGATACCCACTAGAGCAGAGCACAGATAGCCCATTGTGTAGCTCTATGCTTAACAACAAATGATTTACTTAAATAATAATAATTAAATATTAGAATAGTTACTCATTAATAATTATAATTAGGTGATCATATAGGCTACTAACCATGACAACAACGGGTATTTGAACACAATGATCTTACTTACTTTACTCAGTTTCTTCTTCCAGTATTAGCACTCTTTTCAAGAAGCTACATACTGAACAATTTTGATCCATTGCAATTATTATTATACTATGTTTAATATTAAAATAAAACAATAAATTCAGAGGGTTTGGTTGTACAAAATTCTTGCTTATGACACATGCAGGAAAATATATGGCACATACAGATAAAGCAACTCTTGTTAGACTTAACCTAAATCAACTCTTGTTAGACTTAACGTAAACAATTCTTGTTAGACTTAACATACATCAATTCTTGTTAGACTTAACCTAAATCAACTCTTGTTAGACTTAACCTAAATCAATTCTTGTCAGACTTAACTTAAACAATTCTTGTCAGACTTAAGATAAATCAACTCTTGTTAGACTTAACCTAAATCAACTCTTGTTAGACTTAACGTAAACAATTCTTGTTAGACTTAACGTAAACAATTCTTGTTAGACTTAACGTAAACAATTCTTGTTAGACTTAAGATAAATCAACTCTTGTTAGACTTAACATACATCAATTCTTGTTAGACTTAACCTAAATCAACTCTTGTTAGATTTAACGTAAACAATTCTTATTAGACTTATCATAAATCAATTCTTGTTAAACTTATCATAAATTAACACTTATTATATTAAACATAAACAATTCTTGTTAGACTTAACATTAATCAGCTTTAACTTCATTCCTTAATAAAGTGTACAAAGAGATGTTTGAAACCTCCAACAACTTAATGATTAGTATTCTGCTTACAATACACCATAAAGTCAAACACGTACTTACAATTTACTTTGCTGTATTACCCTCCACAACTTTAACATGCTGAGAGTTGGACAACCACTATACGAGACTCGGCAAGACACCCAGATTAACTAAGTAAACCTGATTTTCTTTTCCTTGCAGAAATGTTTTGTCATATATGAATCTGAAGAACTCGTGAATTTGTATCTCAAAACATTTATCTGGATTCCTTGAGGGTTGTAGCATTAATAACCAATTCTGTCGTACACATATGATTTAAATAGAAAAGTAATACTATTTTATTATTTCTTAAAATTTCATTTTGGATCATTTTTTTCATACACACACACAACATTCACAATTCTAACCTAAGCATGCTGTCGATCATATGCTATTCTATTTTTCAAATGCCTAAAAAAAAATGACCAAAATAAATACACATGCCTTTACTTTTTTTTATATATTACTAATACTCAAAAGTTGTCAAAAAAACTTACAGATGAGACAAAATCTGTTAATTTATCTCCTATTTCTCTCGTGGTGAAAACCGCTGCCATTGGATGTCCATTTCCTAATGGTCTTCCAACTGTTACAATGTCTGGTACAACATCTTTAATTGATAAAAAAATGAATCTTTTAAATTATTTTATGACTTCCTATATGTTCAGGTTCAATTAGTGGAAGCAGATTAATTTTATTATTGATTTAATTAACAGATCTGACGTGTGGATTTTAAAAAAAGTTTGATCACAGTAAAATAATTAAAAATCCCCTTAGTATTAGACATAATATTCTCTCAAAATTTCTGTTCATCTGTAACTTCAATACAGTTACATGTCTGGGTTCTATGACTGAAAAAAACAAGTCATTCAACACATTTTCTCAACTACCACAAACTTGAGAGTTCAGATTATCTTTCATTTCTAGCCTCAAAATAGGAACACTGATCCATTACATGCTCTATACAATCACCTGTTGTATTTTGCTTATGACAGAAATATATATTTTAATAAAATCTTATGCTCTATAAATTTAACTAAACCATTGCTTCTCGTCAGTCAATGTTAATGCAAGCTAAACTTCAAGTTTGCCATCTCATGTTAGCCAATTTAAATAGTAAATAATGACAAACAAGATTCAATCTGAAAGTAAAATACAGACATGTGAAGACTCACTAAATCTATAGAATCAATAAAATATGTTAATTTTTGGGTGAAAATATTAGGCACAGTAATTAGTTCTTGCATAAAATTTACTCTGAAACATTTAGTTCAGTAAGCAATACATACTTTATCCATGCATTCAACTTAGGGTTAGACTCAAAAGAAAATACCTATTATATCATCTTATAACTTTGGTCGTAAGAATAAAACCTAGTCTTTAGAACCACTGTATAAATGTGAAAAACATACACATATATATATTTCTTTGTAAACTACTCACATTTCAATTGATTAAGTATTTTAAATAATAATTACCACAGCTTTAATATGGATAAAGTTATCAGAAGATACAGACAAAATTTAAGTTGGAAGTTTGATTCAACTTTATACCTTTCTGAATATATGTAAATAATCAAAGCATGTTTGATGGCACATTTTCAATACCACTATAAAAGTGTGTATATATAACAGGAGGGATCAGAAATGTTTTTTTGAATGCCACGTAGATGGTTATAATATTCATTCCCTGTACTTTACTAAAGACTTCCCTAACATATTTGAGTGGCAAATAAAAAAATATTCTGTTAATATCTTACGAGCAGCCAAGGATGAAAAGAACATCCTTTAATACATCTGCATATCAAAATATATCCTACACTGCTGTAAAAAAAATATTTAAATCTACTTTACCATGTGACTGAAAAGCCCAAAAATGTTCCCCTGTGCGTGAAAGACCACTCTGAACTTCATCAGCAATGCAAACACCTCCTATCCCACGAATATAGCTATAGAATATAAGAGGTATCATGAGAGAAGGTTTGATCACAGTCAAAAGTGATGAGCTATAAATAGTTAACAGCAAAATAAAAGGTTATTAACCTCCTTGCCTAAGTGCAGTTTATTATCAACACTTTGAATAATATTAAAGGTGATAATTGACTCATTTCTTCTTCGATACGAACATATTGGTTAGAATTTGCAGATTGACACAAGACATTTTATTAAAATTCACTGTGTTACACTTTGCAATTAAATTACAAATGTGTTGTGTTCTAAGTCTAGGTCAACTGAAATGCATTAATGTCTTTGAGGTCATTCTGATCCTTATACATTAATTTTACACAAGACTATAAGGATACATCAGTCATAAAGATATTTACTTCATTTGCTTAAATATTTCACCACTTGCAATCCCCAAATTCAACATGCATTCTCCAAAGCTCCAGAAAGCTCTTACTTCAATGTATGTAATGCATAGTAGTCATCCTCAGATGACATTTATGAAACTGAGATTTTCTAGCACAAAAATTTTAATTTCTTTTCTACTGAAGAACAAGGTATTGTGTTGATGTCTATTATTTAGTGAATACTTTTAGTCACAGATCATTAACATCAAAGACTTTGCTAAACAAAAAAAAATCAAGATGATGATATGGATGTTAGATTTAATTAAAGTATTCCTTACAAACAAACTTCAAATATTAGTTAATCCATTTTACATTAATATCTTAGAACACATAAAGAATGATCCTAACAATCTATAACACGACCCAATAGTAACTTTTTCAAGTGTTTTTGAAAAAGTGATACAGATCAAAAATTGAACCAACTTTCGATAATTAACGGATTTCAAGATGGTAGCAGCAAGAGTATGATAGAATGACACAGCTAAGGGTACTGTTATAATGTATTCCACCACTGGGTAGATTCTATTGAATGATTTGGTGAAAATGATGTGAAGTCCAGTCCATTTAACAATAAAGAATCAGTTTGTTTCTTCTATAAATAATATGCTACAGGGTATGTTCACTATAACACAAGTTATAGGCCTAAGTTCACAAACAATGTTTTCACTTTCAACTGAAACAGTAATGTTACCTACACTTAACTGACAAATATTAGGTCATCAAGAAATTAATGTCGTTTTTTTTTAGATGTAAAAACCAAAATAACTTGTATATCAAACAAAACATTTATTAAATGAAATGGTCTCCATTCTTATTGATGATGCTTTTCCATCTTACAATCA